CCATGGATGTCGCCATATCCACACGCCAAACAGGCAATAGACTGATCCGACGAGATGGAGGTGGATTTCCCTAAGGGCGCCCTACGTCCACCAAAGCTCCCGGACTGGCAGTTCACCTCCAGGACCCAACACCACCACCCGGTCTGGCGAAAGGAGGTGCCCCAACACAACGTCGCAAAACGCAAAACCGGCGCGAAGATGACCTCGAGTTGGACATAGTTGGACCATGTTGGACCATTGGTCACAGCATCTGGCTGGTTTGAAGAAAGGCAAACGATTCAAGGAGATCGGCTAGTCGGCTTAGTCAGTAAAGCTTCATTGCTGGTCTTGAAACTATGCAAAATCCAGCAAGTGAAAGACCAACGACCTAAGTTGGTAGATCCCAGGATCGCACCCCGCCAGAATGCCGAGTCAGGTGACGAAGTGTCAGGTCATTTAGTATCATTTGTCAGTGACAACTTGGTTGACTCACCCAATAGAGTTTTACAAATTCTACACACTAATGGCTTTTTCCAACTGGGTGCTGCCCACTTTTGTTTGTTCAGTGCGAGATCGAGAGCTCTCTCGCCACTTCATCTACCAAAATGTCCAGAGAGCACTCCGGAGGTGCATCAAGCCAAAGTTCCTCTTCGGAGGCGCATGATGCTGACGATGACGAAGGTGAGGGCAGTTTCTGGCGCTGCACCCGCAGTGGAGTCCGTCCTGATCTTTAGCATCAGTGGGATGGGAGAACCACGCCAGCGCTTTCGCCTCCTGCTTTTAAACCATGCAGGAGTGTTCTGATTCAGCTCGGGATTAGGGGCATGTGGGTGTCTGAATTCATCCATTGTGCTATGAGGTTGCGTAGTCATAACCACTTCAAGACCACTGGGCGTATTCTCTTCATATTCAGTGTTATCACCAACATATATGTATACCGTACTGTATTCCGCATCCTGAGGCAGTCATTGTTTTGCTGCGACAAGGACAGTCGGACAACCACAACCACCTATTTTGGTACAAACAAGACATGAACATGATACAGCTGATACAGCTACTAGGAACAAGTGCATCGCTTCTAGTAACAAGTGCCTTACTACTAGGAACAAGAAGCCATTAGAAACAATAAGCTGGTAGTAACAAGTGCCACGCTACTAGGAGCAAGGGCCTTACTAGTAGTAACAAGAAGCTACTAGGGGCATGGGCACTGAATTCTGCAGATTCCAGACCTTCGCCTCCAGGGCGGAGTCGCCCGGCCCGGCGCCCGGGCCGTGGGACCCGCGGCTACCGGCGCCCAAAGCACCGTGGCGGTGGCATGGGCGCCCAGGGAGCAGAGTGCTGTTGGAGGTTTGAGGATTATTGAGGTGTCCACTTGTGTATATAAGTGTTCGTTTTGAAAGATGCTGGGCCTCCAAATTGACTCCAAATCTCAGTTTTAATGATTGAACAAGTCTGGTCGCACTTGATTTCGTTGAAGATTTCGTTTCAGGTCGTTTGGTGGCCAACCAGTTGAACAGAAAGAAGATCCGTCCCCGTGATTGTCAGTGTAATTATCCCAGTTGGATTGTTAGATTTTGTCCATGAACAGTGCAGAGCAGGTTTGTTTTGGCCCCAATAAGTATCTACCACAGGTCTTGGTGATGTTTCCCTGCCAAGGATTTTCTAATGCTTTGCAGTCATCCACAAGTAGAAAATTATATATGACCATACTGACCATACTCAACTGAACAATTGTTTTGCGTATATCCCGGATTCCATCTACTTTCTGGTGAATTACAGTAACTTGAGCCGTCTTCTGCAGCCAAGGTGCGTCACCCGAAACCTTTGCAGATTCGGCCCACGCAGCTGGGCAGATTTGTTGTGCCAGACCGACTAGGGGGTATGTGGTGTTTGAGTTGTTCTTCAAGCTGGTTGTGCTCTTCACGCTGACATTACTGCCTTTGATGTGTACACGTTGTCTGCACAGATCTCCACAGTCTTCCTGTGTTCCAATCCGGCACTGGTGGTCCAATAGCAGGATGTCCTAATTGGATAAAATATTCTAATTATTTATTGTTTCTAATAGCAAACATTGTTCCTAGTAGTACGGCCAGGAGCCCCTAGTAGCGTCCTTGCTCCTAGTAGCGATGCCCTTTGCTCCAACGGGCATGAGCCACACGGCGCCGTTTTCAACCGCCCCGTCCGTTCATGGCCTTTTGGAAGAATTCCATCGGCTGCCCTTAGAATGAGCTGTTTTGGGGGGGACTCTGACTCACTAACAGAACACGGAAGTGGAAAATGTCCCTTGGAAGACTACTTTCCTTATGAACAGGGGTTTTCCACTTCCATGTTAGTGAGCGGGAGAGTAAGCAGGGCGGGTTCAGGAGTTTGGTGTCCCAAACCTGCTGAACTACACCCAAGCATTCCACATCCAGATAGAACTAGAACGGTCAAGATGGATAGAGACATTTGTGGCTTGAACACGAGGCCGGCCCAGGCACGGCATGTGCAAGAAGCTAGCTATCTCGATCAAATACAATGTCCAACCAAGTGAGAAAACCCCTTCATGGTCTTGTGACCAGCAACTTCCACGGGCTGCATTGATGCGTAATGTCGACTGTTGATCCAATATTCCCCGCCATTTGGATTATGAGACCTCTTCATGGAGGGGGCTTCATTCATCAACCGTCTACACAGTGTATGGCTTGTGTACCATTGGCACTCAGTCCATGTGATTGTACCAACCGAGCTTGGGTTGGTCGACTCGGCAGCCAGCTACGGAGCCATCTGAGGATGCGGATGCTCAAGTTCCAAGCCCCCCGGAATGGTCCGGGCGCCTGGAGCTCTGAAGCAAGGCCAGACAGACCGATGGCCAACTCAGCAGCGGGACCGAGGATATCTGAGTGCGACCTAGCAAGTGTCCGATTTCGGGGGGGGTGATTGATGACATGCTCTCATAAAGATTGAGCAGCGGACTCCAATTGAATATCAATTGGATATCAATTGAAATAATTTGAGTCCAATTGAATATCAATTGGTTGCCCGAGCAGACAATGCCTTTTTCACTGGGACGAGCTCAGGGCGGCCACGTCGACCACTCTGGAGCCTGCTGCAGGCCAACAGGAGCGGGTGTCGCGGTCATTGATCGGTTGAGAGAGGAAAGGATGTCTAGTAGCTTCTTGCTACTAATGCCCTTGTTACTATTATTAGCCATGCCCTTGTTTCTAGTAGCTTCTTGCTACTAGTAGCGATGCACTTGTTACTAATATCAATAATCAATGATCTGACAGATCCGGCCAGTCTTAAAACATGTGTGATCATATTCTGTCAGGTGCATCATGGACCGCTGGTGGTAATCGATGGTAATCGTCAATATTCCTGAGATCTTGTGGGTGTGTCCGTGTTTGATTCCAGGCAGGTGTGGGGGGGCCCCAGACGAGTACCTCCCTTTGAAGGCATTCAATATTGTTCGCTCAACTATAAGGCAGCATTGTTCCAATGGAGCTTGGGGTAAGAGACTACACAGCATGACATTGTTAAATCTACTCAAGCGGAATGAGGCCAGATAGTTTTTTGAGTCCACACACAAAAAAAGAAACACATTCGGTGTTCTTGGCCATACCCTCACGGAACACTGCATCCAAATCTGTCTCATGTTCTGTAGCTTCAAATGCAGACCTGGAGACCTATAAGAGACGACTTCACTGACCAGAAATAGAAAAGTGAAGTCCCTTCACTGCCTCGTGAAGTCCCTTCACTACCAGATGAGGCTGTTTCATCTTCATGCCGGGACTTCAACCTGTGATCTCTGCAGGACAGGGAAGCTGCAGGCGCTCCTGGAGAATCTGCGGCGGGAACAACAAGACATGCCCTCTGACCTTCAAGCTCTGAAGGACCGACTGGGGAATGCTGGGCCATAGACCCGCCTGGTCTTGTAATTAAGGGATCAGAGTAAGGAACAGTGATGAACATTTGTGGGTTTTGCTGAGACACAGCCCAAACGCTGCAAGTTTGGAGGCAAGGGCCAAGCCGCGAAGCCCAAAGGTCACCTCCCTTTGCTGGCAGATGTCCCAAGATTAGGCACCTGTTCAAACACCTCCAGTTTTGCTGTTCAGCGGCAAGTAGTAAGATCTGATGCAGGGTAGCCTTGTTGCTCTGAAAAAATTGAGGTGAAATCTTCTGAGCGGTTGGAGCTGTTTTGATCCCAGGGGCGTTTGCAGCTAAGGCAAGGTGCAGGGTGATGCAGGGTGTACTGTATCTTACTGTATATGATATGTCGTCCAAAGCAACAGAAATGCATGATGCATGGACTTCCGATCCCTCTCACACAGTAATTAAGTCACCAAAGCCGCTGCCAAAGCTCCAACTAATCCAGTACGATACCAATCCTGCACTGCACGGAGCAGCTTTAGCCGTGTGAAGATGGCGCGAGTGACATGGATAGAACTTCCAAAAGGTCTGTGTACCGGGTAGACTTGGGTAGAGAAAGCGACTGCATGGATTGATACTGTAATATACAGTATGTTTTTCCCGGAGCCTGTAGTGAATTTGTGAACCTCACTCCACAGACATCAAGTAAGTTCACACCCAAAAAACCACCTGAAGCTCGCACCTCCTCGCACCTCAAGCGGCCTCCCAGGAGCGCTTCGAGGAGCTGCAAAGCGCCAGTGGGGAGCTCCAAAGCAACGAGCTGCCCTCGGTGGCCGAAAAGCTGGCGTCCGAGGCGTGCAGCGTGTTGCGCCGCGTGAAGTCATACGGGTACGAGCCGGTGAAGTCGGGTGCCAATATGTCAGTTAAGCCGCGGAGGGTCACCGGTTGGAAGAAAGAAAGATCACAATTTATCACATATTCTCACATATCATGTGTGTTTTTTAGTTAGTTGTTTGGCGACTTGAAGAAGTTGAAGATGCGTTGGTTTGAATGACACAAAGGAATTGGGATTTCGTTCTAGGGGCAAAAGAGTTTTTGTGGATGCCCAGGTGGAGCGCCGAGCTGACGACTTTCAGCGACTCAAGGAACGTGCACTGGAGAGTTTGCTACGGATGAAGCGCCAGGGGAAGCTGGACCGGCTGGCGCAGGACAGCTTTCTCATTTTTCTCTTGAATTCCAGGGGTGCCCTGCCAGCCTGCACGAAAGATTAGGCCCTGCGCGGGCATCACGAGAAACTATGTTTGCTTATTTGCTTGCAAAGTACAGGGAGTGCGTAGAGCAGCTAGACTTCAGTGAAAAGTTTCGGGAGTGCATAAGACCAGTCAGAGGCTAAAGTCCAGAGGCATTTCATGACAGTCTGTTTGTTTATATCAACGCAAGTTGTCAGTGTTAGCAACACTCAGTTTCCCGAACACACTCCACCCCCAGTTTCCAATTGCCATAGCCCTAAGTATGGTTTGCCAAACGAGGACATCCCTCACCAGATGGTGCCTATGTTACAGATTCCGTTCTTTTTTTTTGTTGGAAAGTTGTTCCTTGTCAAGAAAAAACAGTTCACCTCAAACACGGCATGTTTTTAGGGGCACATACAAGTACAGAAGCTCTTGGTCCTTGTTTGGGATCGGACCTTCACTGTGACTCTCAGGAGATGCGGGCCAATGTGACTGAACATCAGGCCGTCGAGGAGCTGTTGCCATCCTGCTAGGGTTGAAGAAAGGGTACCTGGCCCCAAACCAGTGAAACCAGTCATCGAGCCAGGACCACTCCCAACGCCCGCCCGTGCCGGCGAAGCAGCGCGCCCTGCAGAGCTTGTTAGAGACTTGCCTTGGAGACACAGGGAGGTCCTTCTTGAGGACGTGGAGCACAAGCAAGAGGTAAAACAAAATATACAACATATATATATATATAAAGATATAAAGAGGGTCTCACTGCAGAATTATCTTGTGGAAAGCATGCCCTAGGTACACTCCCAAACGTATCCCAACACCTGATATTATGTATATCATTCTGATTTGGCATTTGTTTTGACATCTAGTCACTAGTCTTTGCAGCGTATGTAAATGTAGGAGGCAATCAAACGTTTGGCCCAACGATAGGAGTCAAGCTACCAATAGCCAGGGGTTGCGTTCAACCTACATCAGATTTGAGTGCGTGCCATAGCCCAAAGCCCCAACACCTCCTATCGAGATCGCCATGCTTCAGCCTAGGGGGTGAGCTGGCAACCTGATTTATACATGGCAACATATGACAACTGTTTCCCCTTCATGCCACTCCTCTTGAGCCATTTTGGACCACCAAATCGGTACAAGTTTGGTTGCCATCAATCTTAAAATGCTGGCGCACACCCTGAGCACTGGTTATGAGTAGTGTGGAGTCGTCATGAGTGGTTCAAAGCGATTATGAGTAGTTCTGAGTAGTGATGAGTGGTTGTGAGTGAGTATGAGTTGGTTAGTAGTTTCGTTCTGTTGACGAGTAGTTTAAGAGCTTGTTAAAAGAGCATGATATGTTAAGAGTAGTCAAGATTAGACAGGGTTCCATCAGGTTGACCTAAAAGCATTCCTTTGTTGTTTCCTTTATGCGAGATATTGTGACATATTATATTGTATATGATATTATATAATGAATTCCCAACAGCAGAACGCAGTTGGGTTTCAATCTCATGCCTGGGAGCTGGAATTTCATCCTGGAACTGATGTCTGGAACCCTTGGACAGGATGTGGTGCATAGTTTGGGCATACCATTGCAAAGCCAGATCCTGGAACGGTGGGTGCTGTCTGGAACATTGGGCACTCTGTCGACAGGGTGTGGTGCATATTTTGCTCACGTTGCTGCAAAGCCCGAGTTCCATCCTCGAATTTTTTGGTGGTCGTTGTTTCGAAAGAATTGACCCAGCTTTGCGACCCAACAGCAGGTAGCAACTCAATTGACTGGAACTGTTAAAACACTCCAACTATGCGTTGCTAACGTTCAAGTGTGTCCACAAGAACCCTCAGTCTGCGATGATCTTCTAGCTGATCTGAATTCATCGGCCGCACCAGCAGCGCCAACAAGTTCTCGCCTGATTGACAAAACTGCTGTTGACCGTACTTGCCCTGCACAACACCACCCAGCAGCCAAGGCTCCACAGTTCCAAGGTGCTATTGAGTGCAGCAGCATCCAAGGTGAAAAATTCACAACAACAGAACGCAGTCGGGTTTCAATCTCTGGGGCTGGGGGTGGTACACAGTTGGGCGACGGCAACAGCTGCCGTGCAAAACACGCTTTATACGCAGCAAGGCAGGTGTTTTTGCGTATCTAGCAGCACGCCTTTGTGCTGGGAGCCACGTTTTTGTTCTGATGCGCTTTCCTCGATTGGGGTTGCATTGGAGCGGTACTCAGTCAAAGACGAAGGCCTGTGTGGTTGCAATCAATTCGTTCAGAAACAAGCCCCATGTATGCAAAAGACATGAGGCCTCTTCAAAAGACCGCAGGGAGACGGGACACTATTGCCGCCGCAGGCAAAGTATTTTGTACTTTTTTTGGGGGTGGGCTTTCTGGCTTGAAGAAGGCGACGTTGATTTGAATATTGATCTCTTTCTGCTGTTGGGCTGGAACAGATGTGATTTCCTCTAAAGTAAACAGCAATATTAAATATGTTGCTAGTAGCTTCTTGTTACTACTAGTAAGGCACTTGTTACTACTAGCGATGCACTTGTTACTACTAGCGATGCACTTGTTACTACTAGCGATGCACTTCATGTTGGGCCCCACACCGCAGAAGAAAGGATGGGGCGTCGTAGAAAGATCGCGCCACTGAGGAGATGAAACGATCGGGAGAACTTCAACTCTTGGCAGAGGAGTGGAGATGCCTGCCTTTGAAGTTGACTGAGCAAAGACGTTTCCAAAAACCTATGACTCATGCGGAGTCACGTGACCAAGCTTTTGAATTCAAATCACCCACCCAGCTTTCTTGGCCTCCTTTGGGAAGCCCCCACAGTTTGGAAACAAGTCAAAGCGCGGTCTCGGTCACACGACCTCCTTTCTGCTTCCAAGCATCCACCCCATCTGCCCGCCCTTCACCGAAGCCCTCAGATTCGCAGATCTGCCAGGAGATGGACTCCGCGCAGAAGAAATTCGAGGCCAAAGCTGCCCAGTTCCGGGAGATCTCCGCGAAGATGCGCCGAGGTGCCTTGGTGCGCACAGAGGGAGGCTGCGAAACGAACCCCGTTCGCAGAAGGGGTCCCGGCGCAGGGTGGCAAAATACGGTCCATTACGGTCCGCTCGATCCGTCTAGTCTTACTACTTTGGAACAGGTATACAAAGATGCATCATTTTTTTGGCGATTGGTCCTTTCAACCATTAGGTTCGTGGGAGGTGGACGGTGAAAATGCGTGATGCCCGAGGAATGATGAACGCCATGCGGAACGGCGAGCTGGAACGCTTAGTGGGCGAGATGACCGAAGTCCTCGAAACGCAGGCGTGTTGAATGGATCTGCATCCGCGACTGTTTGTTGGATTTCTTTTGTTTGGGTCCAATGTTTAGAGGACCAGTTTGAGGATCCTGCATCTGGGGAAGTGATTTAACCAAACATTGTTTTTTTGTATGTATATAAAGAAGTTCTACGAGTCGACAGTGAGGCAACTGAGGGAATTAGACATAATTATATGTTGTATGCTGAGTAGTCAGTCAACAGATCCCATGACGAACTTGGGAGAAAAAACACCAGCAGAAAACGCCAGCACAGCGCGGTGCGCATTTGTTTCGGCCTTCAGCGTGCGTCCGCAGGCTGAGAGCATCCGCTCGCGCGTGCGGAAAGGTGGGATGAAGTCCGGTGAACGGGATTCGATGGACAGAGAAGAAGGGATGAGCACACCCAGTCTTGATCAGTTTTGGGTGTTTGGAGATGTGAGGGGCTAGGCCCAAGGGACTGGAGGGTCATACCTCCCTACCTGGGTCTAGGGTCGACCGTTGTATCCACATGGGGGAGGTATGGGTAACGTGGGTCCTTAGACTCCATGGCCGGCACGGGGTGCCTTTCCTGGTGTTTCTTTTGTGGTGTCTTCAAGCCTTCGCAAACCAAAACACAGCTATACACTAGCCTGAAGTAACCTACAGGTTTCAAGGTATTTCAAGCTAGGTGACCTTCGATCGTTGTGGGTACCAAGAAACATACCAGATAAATCCATATATACAATATATTAGTCTGTTCTCGTCCGTTCTCTGCAGCGTCCAAACACATTTTGAACATAATTCCTTTCATTTCTGAGAACACATGTTTGTCATTGTTCTTTCCATTCTAATGCACTGATATATATCTTGCCAGAACAACACATTGCTGCACCAACGGCCACGCGACACCAGCCGGTGGTCCCAGGGATGCTCCGAGCGCACCGCCGTGGAGAGCTTCAAGATCTTCGACAGGCGAGCGAGAGCGGCGCGAAGCGGCGGGACGATCCAAGATGAAATGAACTGACTTCAGGTGGCAACCCCTTCAATGACTCCATATCTTGGCCTGCGTTCTTTTTGAACTATTTTTTTATTTTTTTGGGGAAGGGTGATAATTGATCCGCAAATTGGCAGTAAGGTCAAGAGTCAAGAAAAACGGATCCTGGATGATCCAGCAGTAGTGGGTCTTCCTGGAGGCATACTGTGAGGTCCCGAAGCAAATCATGTGAGAACCTGCAGAGCAAATCATTAAAGGGAACGTGTCAGGGGGGAAAGAACCATCAACCAACAAGGGCATGGGTCTACCATCCAAAATTGTTGTTTTCTCCATTTGATGAGTTCTTTCAGGACTCTCTACTCTGTTTGTTTGATTCAGTTCTATAGAGTCTGCTTTCAACGAAGCATGCATGCTGTTATTTTCTGTCCACTTGACCATGGTCCTTTCGCCGGCCCTTCGCGACACCAACGGGTTCGGTCCGACCCCACAGGAGTTCGACGAGCTGGCGGATGAAGTGCCGTCCATGACGTTTCCCCCGGCCTCGGTGAAACCTCGCCGGCCGGGTGAAGGACACCGACAGCGAACCATGCGACGGGGGCTTGGAGGGGTTGGGGTGGCAGGTCGTCGAGTGGTCGTTTAGGGGAGCGTCCTTGCTCCTATGGGCCTATGGGCAAGAATTCTGTGTGGTTTAGGGCGGTTTGAATGATCGGATGATGCATGGATGTGTCAACCTGAAGCCGTTTTGGAGGCTTCATCCCCCAGCACCCCATGTTGAACCTTTGCCATTTCAATCAAATCCGAGTGGAAGAGTTCTTGGCTAGCCTCACGGCACCCTCACTGGCAGGATATCCGGCTCAGACTCAAACACAGAATAAACCCTCCGGTCATCTCCGGTCCCATTCTTCTGATTTTCTCGCTTGACACCTCCAGACCTTCACTTCGAGCCATGAAGATGGGCACGAAGGCTACTACAGTCAGGGTCATGGCACCCTGCGGATGATTTTAGCAACAATTCCTGGCCCATGGTTTGACTCGGGGTGCACTGAGTTGAAGTTCTTCCTCCCTTGTGGGCAAAGTGGTTGCGAGCCGCTCAGCCCCATGAAGCTTTGCGCAGGAAGCGATTCGGATGAGGCCAAGAAGAAGGAGGAAGATCTCTCCAGCAATGAGGCTTTGTGGAGTGGTGCTAGACACAGGCAACAATTCAATATCTCACTAAAGATTGTCAACCAGCTTCTTTCCGGCCTAATTATGAATCGATGGATCAACAAACGGCCGGGGTCGGCGGTATAGCAGGTAATGCGGTATTTACCCCAACATGAACGGAGTCGTGAGTCTCCTTGAAAAGTATTGACATCTCGGGTTCTGGGCTGGATGTGGGAAGGAGATGGGTTGACATCTCGGTTCACATACCGCTCTTGAATTGAAGGAGAGGAAGATGGGTTGTCTTTAGCGCCTTGACACCCAGACGCGAATATAAATCTTTTCAAGGACTGGATCTGAAGTTCAGGTCCATGGAATGGCGTGCAGAAGGTTCAGAAGTGGTTCAAGCAACATTTTGTTGCTAAGTCCTTTGGCTCGATCTGAGATCTTTAGCCATCGGCCTATGTCTCCATGGGTCTTCATGGGTCTACTCCGGTCGACCGATCGGTACGTATACATTGGCAAGGGTTTCAAGAGCTTGGAGCACGTGAATCTTCCAGCTGGGTTACGCAACTTGTCTTTTGGCGTTTGGTTTAATATGGTTTAACCAAAACATGGAGCATGTCAATTTGCCGTCACGGGCTTCAAAGTCTGATCTTTGGTGGTTTAAACCAAACTTTGAGCTCGATCTATCACACCAGCTCGAAGGTTTTTTTGAGTCCCAATACGTTAACTTTGCTGCCTCTATCACTAGCCCAAGTGAAGCACTCAAATGAGCTCTGGACAGAAAGGTCCACTTCCGGTTGCAGGTTGGTCATGCTCTTAAAGTTGACATTGCAAAACGGTTCCCGATGCTTTTCCGTGCCTTTGGACATACATTTCACACAGTTTTGGCCATCCAAGAGGTTGATTGGACTCCACCTTCACCACGTACTACAGCATGTTTACAGATGAAGTAATTATGCTGTAGATATATAATTGCTCGTGGTGTGCCTTTTTGTTTATATATACCCTTTATTCCCGGCAGCCTGTCCCCGCCTCGCAGGGCAGTGATGCGGAGAAGAGCGCTCCAGCGTTGAGCAGTTGGCAGCCAAAGGCAGGGCTGGCAGGGCAAAATCATCATTTGTTTGACGGATTTTGAGGGAGGGTTCTTCACATTGTAGTCATTGTATGCAAGAGCCGCTACATGCTTGTGTATGCTCTTTGGGCTGCCTTGCGAAACCTCGTTGACTGTGAGTGCATTCTCTCCAAACTGAGGCTGCTCCGCGGAAGCGCTGGGCAGACATGACCACCAGCAGCGACTCCGGTGCGCGGAATTCCGCGGTCGGTCGGCGTGACCCGTGGTGAGGAACGTTGGCCCCAGCATCAAGCCTCCGCCCCAACATGAACAGAGAAGTGGACGCTACTAGGAGCAAAGGGCATCGCTACAGGAACAAGAAACTACTAGGGGCTCCTGGCCTCGCTACTAGGAGCAAAGGACGCTACTAGGAGCTTTCAGTGATAGAGAAATCGAAGGCATTTGATTTTGGTCCAGGGGAACTGTAGCCCTTGCCCCTGCAGCTGTTTTCCTTATAATTACCGTAAAATTGGTGGATAACCACCATGTACAAGGGTCTCGAAGTCGGAGCATGGTGCAGCAAAGCAACCTATTTATGTATCTTCAAGAAGTGGGGATCATTCCCCAAACAGTTTACTGTTGCGGTTCTCCGATCTCCAGACCTTGTCCTCCTGTTGTCCTCTTGTTCCCCTTCTGCTGGTGTCCAGCTTGGCCGCGCCCGTGAACACTATGTCCGCCTGTTGTCTTCTTGTTGTCCTCTTCTTGTCCATCTTGGTCCGGCTACTAGCCCATCTCCAGTCCTTGTCCTTTTATTCTTTTTGTCCTCTCCTTGCTTGTCCTCCCGCTGTCCTCTTTTTGTCGTCCTTTTCTCTTGTTCTTGACCTCTTCTTGTCCTCTTCGTGTCCTCCTGTTGTCCTCTTTTTGTCCTTTGCCTTTTCCTCTCCTTGTCCTCTTCTTCTCCTCTTGTTGTCCTCTTCTTCTCCTTCCGTTGTCTTCTTCTTCTCCTCCTGTTGTCCCTTTGTTGTCCTTCTGCTTGTGTCCAGATGGCAGCATGGCAGCATGGCAGCATGTAGACGTGACACCATGACAGCGTGCCCGCGCGAAGCAAGGTCCCCAAGCGCAATCAAAGGCTATCAAAGGGTCCAATGCGGTGGGAAGGCGCCAGCCGGCAAGCGCGAAGACCGCAGCGCCGCAGCATGGCCACGTGGCATGACAACATGCGAGCGCAAGCAGGAGCCGATGTCCTCTCCTTGTCCTCCAGTTGTCCTCTTCTTGCGGGCTTCTCTCGTAACAAAAAGTGGCCACAGTGTCAGGCCGCGCCGGCGAGCGTCCTGACTCTCTTCCTCTTTTCTTCTTCTTCTTCTTCTCCTCCTCTTGGCGTGCTCCCCTCATGTTGTCCGGTTGTCCTTTTGGCGTTCCTCTTGGTGTGTTGGTGTTGCACAACGACAACTCCTACCGACTAAGCTGTTTGGGGTCTATGCTGGTAGAATGAAGTGGAAGACACACATTGTCCTGAAACACGACTGGGCCTAGGACAATTCAATTCAATGTTTTGGAATACCTAAAGCAGCGAACACACCCTGCTTCGAAGCGTCCAACATTTGCTGAACAACCGCCTGCGCAGATATGGACGCCGCAAGTCAAGCTAGAGCTGCAAGTCGAGCTTGGAACCTCAGTGCGCAGTGGTGGATAATAAGGCTTTGGCTTCTGGATGGATGGGTGTAGGGTGGAGTACTGTAATAGGATATTTCAAACCATCTACAACCTATACTGGAACCTACACTCCTCCTGCGCACCAACAGTAAGCAGTGCATAAAGCCATTGGTTATGATATGAAACAACATGGTCTTGACGATATGCTTTCTCAGGGTCAATAGCTGTCAGGAATGTTTTTTATGTTTTGGCCACCTGTCCAATGATGGTATGGATATGATTCACATGTCCAGCAACTGACTCACCACAAGCATTCCATGATATTCCTTCAATTTCGGACCAGAGCATCTCTAGAACCGTCGTTTTTCTTAATCTCGATCTTAGGATTTATCTACTCAGACAGGGAAAACTGGTTGTATAGTATGAGCAAATCACTCAAATCATTTAAATTCTGCAGTGCCATTGTTTGGCCGAATCTTGGTGACTTGTGTTTCTTGCTGGGAAGAACCCTGGTGACCAGGCTGATACCAAGCCGCTTCTCAGGTTTCCTCATCACCACTGTTGAACCCAACAATCATGTCTTTTTTTTCGGACTTGTATGGTGATGGGATCCTTCAAGCCAGG